AACGTACTTTTCCACGCATTTAGGGGTATAGGACATATAAGGCTAGACATATATTTTTATAGACCAATCGGCACAAGATGGGTGATATGGTCAGCATTTTGCTGGCTGCCTTTACTTCCAGGGATTACACCGGGTACCCACTCAAGGCTGGGTCGATCTGAAAGTCTAGGTCATTTTTGAAATAATTCCGGCTCCGCCAGGAAGCCAACCCACGACCTTCCAGTCCACACGCGAGCATCTAACCGCTACGCCAAGGCGACTCCCTCAAACATGTTCTATTTCTAAATACATTTACTCTATATGTACACATTATTTCTACAGTTTCTTATTCATACAGACATCTTGTATTTACAAATATCAATCCTAATTCCATTCAACTGGTTCTTTTTCTATAAACCTCTTTTATGGCTAATATATAACTGTCAAATCCTTCCGTGTTCCACATTCGTTTGATACCTAGCATCTCCCAGCATTACCCAAGCTACGACTGGGTTCTTCAAATACTAGTTGTCTGGTGCCGTGCCACTTAATCCCGTCAGCATCTATTTGGTCTTCTTCTTCTTGTTTATCGTGTTTTCAGATGTCTGTTTTCATGAATGATGATTTCAAATTCCATTTTTCCTGAAATATGATTTCAAATGTCTGTGTCCCCGAAATGATTTCAAATTACCAATATGCAGCTCAAACAGCATCCCCCATACTTACAATTTTTTTTTTTTAATCAGCCTTTTAATTTTAACTTGAAGTGGGGGGAATTTTTGGGGGAGTACCGAGGCGTAATTTTAAAGACACATATTGACAACTTCTTCTTCTTCTTTTGTTTCTTCTTCATTTTCTTCTTCTTTTTCTTCTTCTTCTTCTTCTTCTTCTTCTTCTTCTTCTTCTTCTTCTTCTTCTTCTTCTTCTTCTTCTTCTTCTTCTTCTTCTTCTTCTTCTTCTTCTTCTTCTTCTTCTTCTTCTTCTTCTTCTTCTTCTTCTTCTTCTTCTTCTTCTTCTTCTTCTTCTTCTTCTTCTTCTTCTTCTTCTTCTTCTTCTTCTTCTTCGCTTTCATTTTTTTTCTTCATCTTTACTTTCTTCTTTTTCCTATTCTTCTTTTTTAAAATCTATTTTTTCTTCTTATTCGTGTTCCCCTAGCTCTTCTTCTTTTTCTTCTTCTTATTCTTCTTCTTATTCTTTTTCTTCTTCTTCTTCTTCTTCTTCTTCTTCTTCTTCTTCTTCTTCTTCTTCTTCTTCTTCTTCTTCTTCTTCTTCTTCTTTTTTCGTTTTCATTTTTTTCTTTTTCTTCTTGGTCTTCTTCTTTTTCTTTACCTTTTTCTATTTCCTATTCTTCTTTTTCTTCTTTTTTTAAATCAATTTTTTCTTCTTATTCTTGTTCCTCTTGCTCTTTTTCTTCTTCTTCTTCTTCTTCTTCTTCTTCTTCTTCTTCTTCTTCTTCTTCTTCTTCTTCTTCTTCTTCTTCTTCTTCTTCTTCTTCTTGTCCTTCTTCTTGTACTTGTTCTTCTTGTTCTTCTCTTCTTCTTCTTTTTCTTTTGCCTCTTTTTCTTCTTCTTCTTCTTCTTCTTCTTCTTCTTCTTCTTCTTCTTCTTCTTCTTCTTCTTCTTCTTCTTCTTCTTCTTCTTCTTCTTCTTCTTCTTCTTCCTCTTTTTTTTTTCTTTTTCTGCTTCTTCCTAATCTCTTGTCTCTTGATGGACACATGGACGAATGATCAACACAATGAAGACGTTTAAAACGTATTGGCATCACACAATCTACGATCTTGTGGCTTGTCTTGAAAAGTGGAAAGGTTTCTTAGATCACGTAATGACAACATGGTGGTTGGAGGAGAAGAGGAAAGCTTAGATCACGTTCTGTTAACGGTATGGTTGGAGGAGAAGGGGTGGGCTTAGATCACGTCCTGACAACGGGGTGGTTGAAGGTGAAGGAGAAAGCTTAAATCACGTCCTTTCATCGGGTTGGTTGAAAAAGAAGGGAAAAGCTTAAATCACATTCTGACAACGGTGTGGTTGGAGGAGAAGAGAAAGCTTAGATCACATTCTGACAAAGGTGTGGTTGGAGGAGAAGAGAAAGCTTAGATCATGTCCTGACAACGGTGTGGTTGGAGGAGAAGAGAAAGCTTAGAAAACATTCTCACAAAGGTGTGATTGGAGGAGAAGAGAAAGCTTAGATCACGTCCTGACAACGGTGTGGTTGGAGGAGAAGAGAAAGCTTAGAAAAAATTCTCACAAAGGTGTGGTTGGAGGAGAAGAGAAAGCTAAATCACATTCTCACAATCGTTATAGCTTGGTGTGATGTCATAGTGTTGTTGAACTTTAGTCAGTCAGTCAGAACGTCTTTTTCAAACAACATTCTACTGTCTATTCAGTTTTAGTTGATAACTTGTTTTCTGTCAAAAACATAAAATGTTTATACTACAAATTAAGCATCTTTATTACTCTTAGTCCCGACTTATCATACATTCTCACAGAACAGAACTACAGGTCACATCTGCTTGGTGACGCACCAGCTACGGGAGGCCTAATTAAAACTTCTATGGGGGTCGAACGGGTATCTTGGATCTGCCTTGTTAGTCCGTCGTGTTGACTGAGATGGTATCATCTATTGATGGCATGGTTAAACCTTTAAGTAGCATACCGGAGGGGACAAACTGATCGATCGATCGATCTCATAGACAACTCAATGCAAACGGAGAGGTAGAGAAGGGTGTGGATAGATAAGATATTGTGGGAAAGGCAGGGAGAGAATGGGAGGACATACACAGACAGACAGACAGACAGACAGACAGACAGACAGACAGACAGACAGACAGACAGACAGACAGACAGACAGACAGACAGACAGACAGACAGACAGACAGACAGACAGACAGACAGACAGACAGACAGACAGACAGACAGACAGACAGACCGACCGCCCGCCCGACCGACCGACCGACCGACCGACCGACCGACCGACCGACCGACCGACCGACCGACCGACCGACCGACCGACCGACCGACCGACAGACAGACAGACAGACAGAGAGGATAAAATCATTGGTACATAATTAACACTATTTTCTACGCGACTTGACAGGATAAAGGTATGTTATCAATGCATGTCGTCCCCATGACGGGCCCAAATGTTCGTTATTTTGAAGCCCCACCCTGGCTTTTGCCGGGGGCCGAAATATAACCTGAAGGCTGATCGGGGTTTCCAGGACCTCTCCACGGATGATCCTCATCCGTTTGGTGTCACTTTGTGTCACCGTGTGTTTATCGCTTGTGTGATGCCCTGGTGGGGTACACATTTACTTACTTGATAAAGCTCTAATCCTTTATTTGTCTACCATTTAACTCGCGATGGCGAGTGTGGCTAGCAAAACCAGCCCGTGTCAAGAAAAGTCTTTCACAATTATTGCATAGTATTTCAGTATATTAAAAGGCTATGGTTAAGCACCAGCAAGCAGATAAAAATTAGAATTTTGAGAGAATGCATCTTCCCTGTGGCTACATACGGATGTGAGTCGTGGACTATCTCTCAGTCCTTAAGAAAGAGAATAGGGGCTTTTGAGCTGAAATGCTATAGAAAGATTCTCAGAATATCTTGGACAAAGAAGATGAGAAATGTTGACATCTTAGAAGATCTGAACATCAAGGAAGATTGGCTAATAAACAGCATCCTGTCTCGGCCACAACATATTGGAAAACTATTATAGCAGAAGGCATGGTACCAGGAAGGAGGGGCAGGGGCCGATCGACACGAAGATGGGCACAGGATATAAGTGACTCCTTGAGTGTGAAAGTGCATGAGGCGGGAGAACTGGCTAGAGACCGAGTTTCTTTCAGGCAGACTGTGATGAGAGCGACGTTCTGCAAAGGACCTACTACATGATGATGATTTCAGGACCGTTGTTGTCAACTTTTGTGTTTAGCCTGTTTCTTTTCAGACGCTCAGCTCTCATCCTTTATGTGATCGTTTCTTCCCTGGTGTTTTCCTTAATACCAGTGATTCTGAAACTTCCTTATGTCGCGACCCTTCAATACAGTTCTCTCATGTTGTGTCGACGCCCGGACAATTTTTTTTTCCTTTATAGCTTCAATGAACATGTGTTTTCTGAAGGTCAAAGGCGACCCCTGTGAAAGGGTAGTTCAACCCAAAGAACGGTCGCGACCAGCAGGCTGAGAACCGCTGCTTAATACAATGTAATTATATTATATTTAAGATGGGAGTGCCTAGGCCAGCAATGAAATATATGTTGGGAGGGGGGAGGGAGCTCAATGTACCTATGCCCCCAATTTTCGACGCCTCTGGTTATAGTAAGGATCAGTGCTTAGCACTGATAGAATAATGGAATTGCAAGAAACTCTAGAAGAGGATACACGGGTGTGTCTATGTTAGAAAATATGAGTAACAACATAGGCCATGAGATTAATGTTTATGAAAGGATGGCATTTTATATCAAACACGGCATGCATATTTCAACCCCTATTGAACAGTCCCCGCTCGCCTGCGGATTCAAAGGTCGTGAATTCAAATCCGAACCCATCCCAAATAGGTACCAGATAAAGTCCTGGAAAGTAAAGGACACACGGGTGATATTGACCATATCCCCAGCAAGTTCCGCTTATTCTATGCAATATTGGTCTAATACTACATGCCAAAAACGCATGGAGGCGGGGACAAGGGTCCGTAGAGCAACCTCTAAAGGGGTACAGATTGTTAAAGAGATTAAGAGAATGATCGCATGCACGTCCTTGACAAACCCCTTGAGTATTTACATTCTTGAACTCTGTTTCTGAATAAAATGCAGGATGTCCATAATTAACTACAGCAGTGGCACTTTGCTGCCACTCATCCGAAACATGATTTCTGCAAATGCTGTCAATTGAAAGAAGCGAAAAACTCCCCATTGAATTGATGGCACAACCGGGCGAAACTTCGGCCTCAAGGGCTGTCCGCTGTTTGCTCTTCGTGGGCAATGTAGAAATGAAAAAGCTCTTATATTATTGCAGATTTTAAAC